ATAACCCCCGCTGACAGGTTGGTGCCTACTTGAGGGAGGGAATGGGCTGGTGAGTGAGTCATATGGGGCTCCTTCCTCCCTGCCGGCCATGTGGCTCAGCTGCCATGTCTCTAACCACTTGCCCTTCCTCACCAGTGGCCTGATCACGCCAGGTGGCTTCTCCTCTGTCCCTGCCGGCATGGAGACCCCCGAGCTCATTGAGCTGAGGAAGAAGAAGATAGAGGAAGCCATGGATGGGTAAGTCAGGCTTGTGCCATTCTACTTCTTCAAAAAGAGCAGGGGTATCTAGGATGCTGTAGGATCACAAGGGGCACTGTCGTGTGGCACTAGGGGCTTAGTAAGGAGTGCTGTCCCTTGTGCTCTAGTGTAAGCCTAGTGGTGCTGTTCATGCTGTTGTCGGTAATGCTGTTATTTAGGAGTGCTCTGTCATTCACCTTCCCAACTGGGGCTTTTAGCTCAGTCTCAGCCTTGCTGCTTCCCAAATCCTGCTGCTCTTTTGTTAGTCCCTGTCCCAAACTGTTTCTGGCAGCTAAACATCCTGGATGCTGCATCCCTGTCCCTTGGCAGTAGTGGCCTGTTGTGCTGATACTTTGTCTCTGCTCCCCTTCCCCACAGCAGTGAGACGCCCCAGCTCTTCACAGTGCTGCCAGAGAAGCGAACAGCTACTGTTGGGGGTGCTATGATGGGTTCCACTCACATCTATGACATGTCCACGGTGAGTGACTCGGGCCAGACAGCTGTGAGCTTTGGGTCACTGATTGGTTTTGATCCAAGGGCTTGGCAGGATGGGGGCCGACACTGGTAGAACCCACCTGTGCCCTCTGGGTCCTGAAGTAGCAGTCCAGGAGCTGTTGTGGTGACAGGGCTTCCCCGCGTGGGAGGGGCAGTGGGGCGGGACTTCCTGTTCTTGGCGTGAGGGTGGTTCTGTATTAACTAGTGGTCTGGAGCAGGGAGAGGTCCAGCTGGGCAGAGAGTCAGGTACTGTGGCAGTAGGAGCTGGAAATCCATGGTGTGAGGAGAAAGGCAGGACTCAGTTGGCTTGACTGTGGGAAGGGGTTGAGCCCTTGGCAGCTGCTGAAGGTCCAGGCTGGAACTGTAGCTGGCTCCCTTGGATGCAGGGAGCCATTGGAGCATCCCATTAGAAATGGAGGTGGGGCTGGCATTCGAGTCTAGACAATCCCTGCTTCTGAGGGGAGAATGGCTCAGGCCTGGGATTAGAATGACCTGGGAAGAATGGCTCCAGTTGGGTGCTGCTGAGAGGGGCTGGAAGGGACATGCACCTGGGGAGTGTACAGGAAGGGCTCAACTGGTGCGGAGTGGTGGGATTCAAAGGTCCACTCTGAGGGGAGTGGTTATGCCAGTGCTCTATCACATCAACCCCCACAGTAAGGGGAGTTCAGTGAGACAAGTACAAGGCCCTGGCCTTCCTCACTCACTGCCCACAGGGTCTCATGGTGGCTGGGAGCCAAGCAGGGTGTTTCTGTGGGTACCCAGGCATTTGAAGCGAGAACACTAATGCTCAGCATGGGAGAGATTCTCCCGCCTCCTTCCCCCTCCCCCAAGTTTTCAGGAAAGGGATCTTGCCTTGGGCACAGTCGGTGCTGTTTGGAGGCAAGATATATTGAACTAGCTGGGCCCTGGCTACGGGGCCCTGAGGGCAGGGGCTCCCTCTCCCACACTGTACTTGTCTCACTCTTCTCCTCCCCTACAGGTGATGAGCAGGAAGGGGCCAGTGCCAGAGATCCAGGGGGTGGAAGTGGCACTGGCCCCTGAGGAGTTGGAGCTTGACCCAATGGCCATGACCCAGAAGTATGAGGAGCATGTGCGGGAGCAGCAGGCCCAGGTGGAGAAGGAGGACTTCAGTGACATGGTGGCTGAGCATGCAGCTAAGCAGAAGGTGAGGGGGGGGCAGGGCTGGGGGAAGAGGCTTGAGGGTGGGATATGGGGTGCCATCTCCTATCTGGTCCCACACAACAGGGGCATCGATGGTCTTGGGGTCAGCAAATGGGATATGGAGCCTGTCCCCTCAAGGTGCTCCTGTCCAGTCCCAGGGTGGAGGGACAGGCTGGGTTGAGGGGGTTGAGAGTAGTTTGCTGGCTGAACTTTCTCTCTCTCTCTCTCTCTCTCTCTGCAGCAGAAGAAGCGGAAAGCACAGCCCCAGGACACGCGTGGGGGTGGCAAGAAGTATAAAGAGTTCAAGTTCTAGCCCCATCCCCTTGTTCTGCATCTATTTTTAACCTATTCATTCCTGTCCCTGTGCTGTGGGAAGGAGCAGCTTGTTGGTGCCCCCTGCTGCTCTGCTTCCTCCAACTGTGTTTTGTGAGTTTTTTTTTGTAAATAAAATCCTGGGTGCTGGGGCAATGCCCCTGCCTCAGCTTTGGCTCCGTGGATCCTGTCTCTGAGGTAAACACTCCCTTTGCCACTTGCTGTGGTTGCTGTTTTAGGAGCCCAATCAACTTTCCCTCATTGGCCAAGTGGAGACAAGGGGCTGTGCAGAGGGGCTCCTGGGAATCTTGCAGTGGTTTCTCTGTACTGTGCTTCCAGTTTACTGCTGGCTCAGCCCCCTGGGCTCTGTGTGGGGCTCTGCCAGTTAGGTCAGGCTCTAGGTCTATTGTAAAAAGCCAAGGAGAATCAAAGGGGTAGGTTGCCTAGGAAGGCTGTGCTTTGAGGCCCTTCTGTGTTGTAGGAAAGCTGTGCTGTTAGCTGTGTTACTGACCTTACCCTTGCTGCTTTGGGACAAGGAGAGAAGGGGCAACTGCATATAAGCAGCTCTGCTGTCCAGACATCGCCCTGTGCTTGCTGACTCCTCCCCATGCAGCAGGCGCTGTCTTGCCATTGCACTACTGTGTGACTATGGCTAGGACTGGGGATCGAACGCAGGCGCCCTGCTAGACAGCCTTTGTGCCATAGCTGCAGGCTGATGGCCACCAGCTGGCAATCTAGGTGGTACTAGCGGTCCTAGAGCAGCATTGGCTGTGGCTAGTTGATAGGGGAGGCTTTTTTTTTTTTTTTTTTTTTTTTTTTAGGCCTTCGTCACGGTGGTCTGTGTCCCCGAGTGGATGGGGGGGTTTTTTTTTTTTTTTTTTTTTTTTTTTTTCAGGCCTCAGTACAGGTGATCTGTGTCCCCAGCCCTGCTGTGAAGTCTGTAGAGGGCTAGCTTCCCTCAGAGCCATGGGCCCCTCTGCCCAGCATTTCCCACTATAGCTCAAAGCCATGACCTTGTCCTCTGTAGTGGCTGGTGAGATGAGATCCAAAATCCAGTCCTTTCTGCTCTGAAGCCTGCACTTAGCTTCCCAGTGTTGGTCCTGGCAGCTGCAGCAGTGACTGACCCTGACTTGCTCATTACAATGCAGAGTAGTGGGCACAGCACAGCCCTGGCACAGGGTGGAATTCTGTTCAGCTGGGAGCTTTTGGGCATGGGGAGGGGGGGTGGCAGAGTCCGTTTCCTGCTGTCTGTCACCTTGATTGTGGTGGTGGGGGGATGTGGAGGTTGGGAGTATTTCTCTAAAGGTGCTCAGGGTAAGGGGTGCTGCCTCTCTCCCTCCCCCCCATCTCCAGCTCTGGACTGGCTGCCCGGGAGGTGGGCTGCCCCCTGGCATTTGAGAACAGAGCAAGGAGAAGTGCCACTTGACTGTCCCACCTACTTGCAGTAAGCCATGCTGCTAGCTGCAGCCTAGAGCTGGTGCTCAGGTGGCAGAAGCAGGTTGCAGGCTGGAGCTCTACCTATGTCATTCACATCTGCTCCCAGAGCTGGAGCCAGGAGAGCTGAAGTCAGATAAGCACCTTTCCTAAGTGCTGCCCTATGGTGTTAACTGGGCCCTGTGCAGTAGACTTGCTGCACAGGCGGGTGGGGTTCCCACAGCTCAGCTAGGAGCCCTTCCCATGTCTTCTCTTCTGCTCTCCATGGGGAAAGATGATGGAAAAGTTGGGGCTAGAGTAGACCTCCAGCCTCCTGTCTCTAGTGGCTGCTTCCTTTTCACTCTTCAAGCTTCCTGGGAGGCCAGGGGCTGGGACATGGGGTTGGATCCCAAGCTGCTTTGGGCAGGGCCACTGGACCAGTTTAAACTGTGGAGGTGATGTGGTCTGGAAGCAAGCTAAAGCACGAATATCCCAACCACTTCATGGCCGGGGGTGCAGGAGCTCCCCTAGTCCCAACAGCTCTGGCAGTGGGAGAAGTGCCCCCTGGGCCTCTTCCCTTGCTGCCATGGAGAGGTTGTGGCGCTTGGCAGGGCATTGTCCAAGCCAGCAGCAGCCTGGCCTCCCTGCACTACACAGTGGGGTACCAGAGGGGGCCAGTAGGGGGCGGCTGGTACAGGGGTCCTGATTAGCCCGGGTTCGTGGTTGGCGTGAGGCCGGGCATTGTGAGTAGAAGGGAGGGTGGG